GATCATGATCTTGAGGGTAAGATCATGATCTTGGGGGCAAGATCATGATCTTGGGTACCCAAGATGATCTTGGGGGCAAGATCATGATCTTGGGTACCCAAGATGATCTTGGGGGCAAGATCATGATCTTGGGGGCAAGATCATGATCTTGGGTATCCAAGATGATCTTGGGGGCAAGATCATGATCTTGGGGGCAAGATCATGATCTTGGGTACCCAAGATGATCTTGGGGGCAAGATGATCTTGGGGGCAAGATGATCTTGGGGGCAAGATGATCTTGGGGGCAAGATGATCTTGGGGGCAAGATGATCTTGGGGGGCAAGATGATCTTGGGGGCAAGATGATCTTGGGTACCCAAGATGATCTTGGGGGCAAGATGATCTTGGGGGCAAGATGATCTTGGGGGCAAGATGATCTTGGGGGCAAGATGATCTTGGGGGCAAGATGATCTTGGGGGCAAGATGATCTTGGGGGCAAGATGATCTTGGGGGCAAGATGATCTTGGGGGCAAGATGATCTTGGGGGGCAAGATCATCTTGGGGGCAAGATCATCTTGGGGGCAAGATCATCTTGGGGGCAAGATCATCTTGGGGGCAAGATCATCTTGGGGGCAAGATCATCTTGGGGGCAAGATCATCTTGGGGGCAAGATCATCTTGGGGGCAAGATCATCTTGGGGGCAAGATCATCTTGGGGGCAAGATCATCTTGGGGGCAAGATCATCTTGGGGGCAAGATCATCTTGGGGGCAAGATCATCTTGGGGGCAAGATCATCTTGGGGGCAAGATCATCTTGGGGGCAAGATCATCTTGGGGGCAAGATCATCTTGGGGGCAAGATCATCTTGGGGGCAAGATCATCTTGGGGGGCAAGATCATCTTGGGGGGCAAGATCATCTTGGGGGCAAGATCATCTTGGGGGCAAGATCATCTTGGGGGCAAGATCATCTTGGGGGCAAGATCATCTTGGGGGCAAGATCATCTTGGGGGCAAGATCATCTTGGGGGGCAAGATCATCTTGGGGGCAAGATCATCTTGGGGGGCAAGATCATCTTGGGGGGCAAGATCATCTTGGGGGCAAGATCATCTTGGGGGCAAGATCATCTTGGGGGCAAGATCATCTTGGGGGCAAGATCATCTTGGGGGCAAGATCATCTTGGGGGCAAGATCATCTTGGGGGCAAGATCATCTTGGGGGCAAGATCATCTTGGGGGCAAGATCATCTTGGGGGCAAGATCATCTTGGGGGCAAGATCATCTTGGGGGCAAGATCATCTTCGGGGATCAGTAATCGCCTTTACTTTCGGACACTGTTGCAAAGCTTAAGCATTTCGGTGTTTCAGTTTTGACTATTTTGTTCATATCTCAACTTGCAATTGACCGATCCACTTGAATTTGGTATCAAAATGTTGCTTAAGATGTTTCCAAGACCCTCGTATGACTAAGGAAACTCTAGAAACCTCAGAAACCCCAGAAAACTCAAAAAATTCAGAAAACTCATAAAATTCAAGAAGAAAGCTGGCAAGCTAGGATTTATGAAAAATCAGAGTAAAAAAGTGCAGCACTTGGGGGGGGGGGGCTATTTCTAGCCCCCCAAATCCCCCCAAGCACTCCCCGGTGAGGGAGGGGGTCACCCTGAGCTATCTTGGAGGAATCACCCTTACCTCAAGCTCTGACGAAGACGCGCCACCGTCTCAGGCTCTGAAAAGTCCTGGGTCTCCGAGTTTTAGAGTCTTTGCTTTGACTGAGCGTTGATTGAGCTGTGTACCCCTCAGCTTTCCGACAATTCCCTTGGCTTTAAAGTACCCGGGTACTTAGGAGTGCCATTCTCCTTTACCTCACGGACCTACATCCGCTACAGTGGCGCACGGAGGACATCCGCTGCCGATAGTGGGTCGGTGACTCCTGCTTTTTATGACCCCCTCGGTGCCCATGGGCGAGAAACTGCGCGTTTATCGCTCCCAGAGGGTCCGAACCACCTTCCCTTCAAAAAAGCATCGTCTGGCACATGGACCCTTTTTCGGCTGGTATAGGTGGTTTAATTACCCAAGTTTCCGACAAATAATACAAATTTTTGCAATAACACTTCAAACTTTCATTTTTTTTTAACATTCTTAGAATATTGTTTCGAATTTTACAAATTAGAGTTCTGATATATCTTTTCATATCAAAACCATTTAAAATCTGCGATTTGTAAAAAAGTTTTCCTTACGATCAAATTCAGTCTCAAGACTTATCGGACTTTGACCCTAATTTTATCTAGGTTTTTATTGGTAAGTCTATAAAACAAATAAAACATTTTTAAAGTCAAATTTTATGCAGATTCTAATAAAAATAACCGAGAGTTGATTCGACCCTTAGATCTTGAGTTATAGATCTTTAATTGAACTTACCTATTCAAATAAGTAGGTTAACTTTGACCGAAGATTTCCCTATGTTTTTATATTAAGGTTGACCATGTTGGCTATAGTTTTCTAACATAGGATTTCGTTAGCTACATTTTAAAACCAATCACAAGTTGATCGGTCAACTAGAAGTGGAGATAAGTAGAATTCTTGAGAATATTACCATCCTCTCAAAAAGTATGAGATAACCTTTAAAAAGGTAGGGTGCAACCTTTTAAAATCTATTTTCCTCTATGTTTCTTTGGTAAGTCTACAAAACCAATAATACATTTCTAGACTCAAATTTTGTGTAGATTCTAATAAAAGTAACCGCTAGTTGATTCGAATATTAGATCTTGAGTTATAGACTTTTTAATTGAACTTAGCCTTTTGGGAAAGTAAGGCAACTTTGATTAAAAATTTCCCTATGTTATTATATTAAAGTTGACTGCGGAAGCTATAGTTTTCTAAAATAGAATTTTATTAGCTACATTTTAAGACCAACCAGAAGTTGATCGGTCAACTGGAAGCGGAGATAAGTATAAGATAAAGTCACCAAATAAGATAAAGTCGCTATAAGTTCCTCTAAAGCTGAGTAGTTTTAAAAGTAAGTATTTCATTTCTGCTATGTTATTCTAAGAGAAATCGAATTACCGAAGTTTTCTGCTTTTTGGTGAAGAAGTGAAAGAAACCTCGAAAAAGATCTCTACTACACCAAATGGTGAAGAAGACGAGAAATCTTGAGCAAAGATCACTACTACACCAAATGGTGTAGAAGACGAGAAATTTTCAGCAAAGATCTCTTCTTCACCAAATAAGATAAAGTCGCTATAAGTTCCTCTAAAGCTGAGTAGTTTTAAAAGTAAGTATTTCATTTCTGTTATGTTATACATTTCTTGACTGAAATTTAACGTAAATTCCAATGATAGTAAGCAGAAGTCGATTGAATTCTTAGACCTTGAGTTATAAACCTTTTAAATGGATCGACCCTTTCAGATAAGTAGGTGAACTTTAACCGCGATTTTCTTTATGTTTTTATTCTAAAGTTGCTAAGTAGATTGTGAGTTTCTAGTAGGAAATTTCATAAGGAACATTTTAAGAACAACCACAAGTTGATCGGTTAACTGGAAGTGAAGATATGGTGGAAGAGAGAAGAGTGATTAGCTTCCGCGGAACAATAGCACAATTGTTAAAGAAAAAGAGTACTTTTTATTAGATGAGCCCCGATTTTTTCGACGGATTCGAACTCCTCGACTAAAACTGCGTCTAGAAAAGTGATCTTAAAAGATTTTTAAAAAAAAAAATTTTTATTGAAAAAAAAAGCCAAGGTATTAGACTCGACTTTTTTTTTCTTAAAATAATTTTTTTTTCCAAACTATTTGAAAACACTTTTCTAGATCTAGTTTTAAGGGTACAATTCAAATCTATCTAAAAAATTCAGAGTTGACCTTACAAAAAGCACTCTTTTTGCTTAACAATTGCTTTTAAATGAATCGACCCTTTCAGACAAGTAGGTGAACTTTGACCGAAAATTTCTCTATGTTTTTATATTACAGTTTACTGAACAAGTTATAGTTTTCTAGAATACAATTTCATTACCTACATTTTAAAAGCAACCCCAAGTCGATCGGTCAATAGTAAGTGGAGATATGAGATAAAAGAGAAGAGTAGTCCAACTCAGATTCTCTTTTGTCTCATATCTCCACTTACTATTGACCGATCGACTTGGGGTTACTTTTAAAATGTAGGTAATGAAATTGTGTTATAGAAAACTATAACTTGTTCAGTAAACTGTAATATAAAAACATAGAGAAATTTTCGGTCAAAGTTCACCTACTTGTCTGAAAGGGTCAATCCATTTAAAAGGTTTATAACTCAAGATCTAAGAATTCAATCGACTTCTGCTTACTATCATTGGAATCTACGTTAAATTTCAGTCAAGAAATTTATAATTTGTTTTATAGACTTCCCAATAAAATTATGGAGAAAATTAGGGTTAAAGTGAAATGAGTCTCTGACCCCGCTCAGAGAATCTGAGTTGGACTACTCTTCTCTTTTGTCTCATATCTCCACTTGCTATTGACCGATCGACTTGAGGTTGCTTTTAAAATGTAGGTAATGAAATTGTATTCTAGAAAACTATAACTTGTTCAGTAAACTATAATATAAAAACATAGAGAAATTTTCGGTCAAAGTTCACTTACTTGTCTGAAAGGGTCGATTCATTTATGCTAATGAAAGATCTTTGGAAAATTTGCGCTTTTAAAGCATCTGGAGTCTAATGGCGTGGCTTTGTCGGGATTTTGTCGGGAATGTAAATTTCATGTAAATTTCGGAAAAAAACCTAATGAAAGATCTTTGGAAAATTTGCGCCTTTGAAGCATCTGGAGTCTAGGGGCGTGGCTTTGTCGGGATTTTGTCGGGATTTACTCCAGTCAAATGTTTTAATAAAGTTATTTCAGTGTTTTTGTTAGAAAAAAGCAAAATCAAAACACCAAAGACTCATTATCCCCAACAACAAGACTCTGGGTACCCAGAGTTTTGGGTACCCAGAGCTAATACTTAAGGATTCAGTGAAAAATGTTACCCCAAACAATCGGTATCCAATCGGTTGTTTAGAATGCCGATTGTTTGGGATAACATTTGTTTGGGGTAATATTTTTACCTTGGGTACCCAAAACGGGGTACCCTTGGGTACCCAAGATGATCTTGGGGGCAAGATGATCTTGGGGGCGAGATGATCTTGGGGGCAAGATGATCTTGGGGGCAAGATGATCTTGGGGGCAAGATCATCTTGGGGGCAAGATCATCTTGGGGGCAAGATCATCTTGGGGGCAAGATCATCTTGGGGGCAAGATCATCTTGGGGGCAAGATGATCTTGGGGGCAAGATGATCTTGGGGGCAGGATGATCTTGGGGGCTGAATTAATATTTAGAACAAGGCAAAATGTCATAATTTTGCTGTTATTTATGACATTTTACCCAGGGGCAAAATGTCATCTTTTTGTCACTTTTTATGACATTTTACCCATGGGCAAAATGTCATAATTTTACCATTATTTATGACATTTTACCCAGGGGCAAAATGTCATAATTTTGCTGTTATTTATGACATTTTACCCAGGGGCAAAATGTTATCTTTTTGTTATGACTTAGGACATTTTACCCCGAAGAATGGGACCTAAACGGGTCGAATTATCATTGAAAAACCAGGAATTAATATTTAGAACAAGGCAGAATGTTATAATTTTGGCACTATTTATGACATTTTACCCAGGGGCAAAATGTCATAATTTTAGCATTATTTATGACATTTTACCCAGGGGCAAAATGTTGTCTTTTTGTTATGACTTATGACATTTTACCCCGAAGAATGGGGCCTAAACGGGTCGAATTATCATTGAAAAACCAGGAATTAATATTTAGAACAAGGCAGAATGTCATAATTTTGGCACTATTTATGACATTTTACCCAGGGGCAAAATGTCATAATTTTGCCATTATTTATGACATTTTACCCAGGGGCAAAATGTTGTCTTTTTGTTATGACTTATGACATTTTACCCCGAAGAATGGGGCCTAAACGGGTCGAATTATCATTGAAAAACCAGGAATTAATATTTAGAACAAGGCAGAATGTCATAATTTTGGCACTATTTATGACATTTTACCCAGGGGCAAAATGTCATAATTTTGCTGTTATTTATGACATTTTACCCAGGGGCAAAATTTTATCTTTTTGTTATGACTTATGACATTTTACCCCGAAGAATGGGGCCTAAACGGGTCGAATTATCATTGAAAAACCAGGAATTAATATTTAGAACAAGGCAGAATGTCATAATTTTGGCACTATTTATGACATTTTACCCAGGGGCAAAATGTCATAATTTTGCTGTTATTTATGACATTTTACCCAGGGGCAAAATGTTGTCTTTTTGTTATGACTTATGACATTTTACCCCGAAAAATGGGGCCTAAACGGGTCGAATTATCATTGAAAAACCAGGAATTAATATTTAGAACAAGGCAGAATGTCATAATTTTGGTACTATTTATGACATTTTACCCAGGGGCAAAATGTCATAATTTTAGCATTATTTATGACATTTTGCCCAGGGGCAAAATGTCATAATTTTGCTGTTATTTATGACATTTTACCCAGGGGCAAAATGTCATAATTTTGCTGTTATTTATGACATTTTACCCAGGGGCAAAATGTCATCTTTTTGTCACTTTTTATGACATTTTACCCATGGGCAAAATGTCATAATTTTACCATTATTTATGACATTTTACCCAGGGGCAAAATGTCATAAATAATGCTGATAAATTGATCATTAGTCATCTTGCACCAATTTCAGTACTAATTTAATATTGTTATAATATTAAATCTCGTACTCTGACTGTGTACGTACTTTTTGGGTATGATATCTGAGTATGATATGATATTTATTTTGCTATATTCTATCATATTGTTAGAATATAAAGTAAACTCCTTTACCGGATTCTTCTCTTGAAAAAATTCCGGTACCGGAGCCTGATCTTGCGAAGCCTACAGTACCGGAGATTTATCTTAAAAGTAATATTAAGGCTTCGGTACCGAAGGCTAATCTTCAAACAATATTAAGTATTGAAAATTATATTAAGTATTAAAATTAGACCGAAGTTCTTTTAAGATAAGACTCAGGTACCGCAGTTTAAGGTTCAGATTTTGTTCGAAAAGAATTTTAGGAAAAATAAGTAATATACTCCTAACGTCATCCACAACTCTGAATGAGTCTGTTAGGAAAATTTTGTTAGGATAACTAACCCAACCACTAATAAAACGAGGTGAGTAAAATGTCATAGAAAATGACAAAAGATGACATTTTGCCCGTGTTTTCTAAAAGGTGCTCTTTCTTGTTTTCTCTGCGTCTTTAGATCTCTCTTATTCTCTCTTTCTTCAATTTCTCTTCATTTTCATCTTCATTTTCTTTATCTTTCATCTCCTTAGTTCTTCTTTCTTTTTTTAGTCTTCAGTTCTTTTACATAATTTATATTTCATCTTTTTACATATGTTTTACCAATTTAATCATTTTCTTTCTTGCAGATACATCATTAACATCAATTTGAACATGGCTCGTCAAATGCGCCAGCCTCAACACACCAGCCTAGAACCAAAAGCTCAACGCCGTTTGGTCAGTCAAGGAGCAAGCGAGAGATTCGTGGTGGGTGCTTTTATTCTTATTCTTATTCAGTTTGCTGTAGTAGTTTGTTCCTTATCTATATAATTCCCTTAGCTATATCGATAATTCCTATCTATATCGTTCTAATTTGGGAATTCAGCTTCCGCCAACGATGTTTGTGGCTCGAGACCGTACACTGTCCCCGGCGGCCGCGCCGGTTCGACGCAACAAGCACGACACGGAAGCGACGCCAGAACGAATCCGACGGATGGCCTGCCTCTATCTAAGCTTGCATGTGAGTTTTACTTACCGATTTGTAAGAGTAATGATCACGTTTTAGTTTATTTCTTCGCTCTGCAAACAGCCCTCTGCTTGGAATCTCGTGCCTCGTTGCTTTTTCGATGCATTTGCGATGCAATATGATGCTCAAAATCGACGACGGATTCAAGGACGTGTGCGAAAGGTTTGTTAGCTTTTGTCACTTTTCTTTTCATTGCTTTTAATTCAGTTGGAGTTGGCAAAGAAGGTCGGCAAACTCCGACGGAAGGTGGGATCGGGAAACCGATCCCACATTCCGTCACCTTTTGCCGGCGCCCGGTTGCGCTATGCCCGGCTGGTGGCGCACCTGGACCACTCGCCGCTCATCAATTCGCTCGTTGGTAGGTTCTTTCACCTTTATTTTACTTTATAGATTTCCTTAGCTGTATGATAGATAGTAAATCTAGTTTCTATTTATTTCTTTTAGGATGGAAAAGCCTGTGTCAATTGGCTCAAGTGTTATGCGAGCCCTTGCGCATCATCATTGCAAATGCCAAGATCAGCGGAGAGGACAAACACGAGGCCTGCAAGCCACTTATTGACGTGAGTTTTTTTGGAATTAACTTATTTCCTATCACTAACGTTCATTTCAGAAACTCATGGCTGATGACGACTTCTGGCGCATCATCGAGACGTGGCACAACAGCGAAGGACTTCCCTTGGTCAACATTCTCCAGACTCAACTCAACTTGATGAACGACGGTTTGGCAAAAGGCAAGTTGAGTTTTTTCAATCACTGTTTTATTTCTTATATAGTTTCTATTATAATTTCTTTTATAAACTTACTTAATATAAACTATATAACTTAACTGATTCAGCTTGGAAGGACGGACTGGAGGAAAACGACGAAGATGATCTTGACGGAGAGGGACTCGATGATGATGACGAAGACGATTCCGGTGAAGAGGCAGAGACAGACCACCAAGGCGACAGCGAGGAGATTTGATTTTTTATATTTTTTATAATTTTTTTTTGGGATGTTTGGGTTCTGAGTGGGTGTTCACCCTTTGCAGTGACACCCCTCCATATTTTCCGAATAAATTTTTTATATTTATGAAATTTAAAGAGCATTCAAAATAACAGAAAACCAGTTGATAGTTGGTAAAAGATAATTTCTAAGACGTTAGTACTAAGTTAGTTTTAAGCCCTAAGATCTTAGTTGAAGTGTTTGAAAAGTGTTTTCAGTCAACAACAAATTATTTTCTTTTTTTTCGGTATTTTATGGACACCTTTTTGTCCATATTTTTGCGTTTTTAAAATTTTTGAATATTTTTGGATTCTTAGTGCGTGTTCACCCTTTGTAGTGACATCCATCAATGCTTTTGTTTTTATTTAGTTTTGAGTTTTTACAATAAATATTTTAACACTAATCAGAAACTGCTCGGTCAATTGAAAGTTAAAATATGGAGCAGAAGCGGCTTTTAAGCTTTTAGGCGAGAAGAGGCTTTCAAGCCTGGAAAGCTTTGATTCCTGTGAGACTTTCAGACCTGAAAGTATTTGAAGCCTGAAAAGGATTCCAGTACTGAAAGATAGCTTAATCAATACAGTACTTACATATATATTCTTGTTTTTCTAACAATTGTACAATTATCAACGAATAAAGATTTTCAGGCTTAAAAGCTTTACAATAATCAAGCTTTTCAGGCTTGAAAGCCTTACAGTAATTGTATAATGAACCCTGTAGTACTCCAAGGTGTCAACAAGGTGACTTTGTTGACAAGGTAACTTTGTTGACAAGGTGACCTTGTTGACAAGGTAAGTCACCTTCATTTTTTCAGTTTTAACAATATATTAGGGCTGTTTTCTCAGCGTTTATCCCACCGGGATAAACGTTAATAAAAACACCTAAAAAATGAGTCTCCGACCCCCCTCAGAGATTTCTCTGACCCCCCTCAGAGAATCTGAGTTGGACTACTCTTCTCTTTTGTCTCATATCTCCACTTACTATTGACCGATCCACTTGGGGTTGGTTTTAAAATGTAGGTAATGAAATTGTGTTATAGAAAATTATAACTTGTTCAGTAAACTGTAATATAAAAACATAGAGAAATTTTCGGTCAAAGTTCACCCACTTGTCTGAAAAGGTCAATCCATTTAAAAGGTCTATAACTCAAGATCTAAGAATTCAATCGACTTCTGCTTACTATCATTGGAATCTACGTTAAATTTCAGTCAAGAAATGTATAATTTGTTTTATAGACTTACCAATAAAATTATGGAGAAAATTAGGGTTAAAGTGAAATGAGTCTCTGACCCACCTCAGAGAATCTGAGTTGGACTACTCTTCTCTTTTGTCTCATATCTCCACTTGCTATTGACCGATCGACTTGGGGTTGCTTTTAAAATGTAGGTAATGAAATTGTATTCTAGAAAACTATAACTTGTTCAGTAAACTGTAATATAAAAACATAGAGAAATTTTCGGTCAAAGTTCACCTACTTGTCTGAAAGGGTCAATTCTTTTAAAAGGTTTATCACTCAAGATCTAAGAATTCAATTGACTTCTGCTTACTATCATTGGAATCTACGTTAAATTTCAGTCAAGAAATGTATAATTTGTTTTATAGACTTACCAATAAAATTATGGAGAAAATTAGGGTTCAAGTGAAATGAGTCTCTGACCCCCCTCAGAGATTTCTCTGACCCCCCTCAGAGAATCTGAGTTGGACTACTCTTCTCTTTTGTCTCATATCTCGACTTACTATTGACCGATCGACTTGGGGTTGCTTTTAAAATGTAGGTAATGAAATTGTATTCTAGAAAACTCTAACTTGTTCAGTAAACTGTAATATAAAAACATAGAGAAATTTTCGGTCAAAGTTCACCTACTTGTCTGAAAGGGTCAATTCTTTTAAAAGGTTTATCACTCAAAATCTAAGAATTCAATTGACTTTTGCTTACTATCATTGGAATCTACGTTAAATTTCAGTCAAGAAATGTATAATTTGTTTTATAGACTTACCAATAAAATTATGGAGAAAATTAGGGTTAAAGTGAAATGAGTCTCTGACCCCCCTCAGAGAATCTGAGTTGGACTACTCTTCTCTTTTGTCTCATATCTCGACTTACTATTGACCGATCGACTTGGGGTTGCTTTTAAAATGTAGGTAATGAAATTGTATTCTAGAAAACTATAACTTGTTCAGTAAACTGTAATATAAAAACATAGAGAAATTTTCGGTCAAAGTTCACCTACTTGTCTGAAAGGGTCGATTCATTTAAAAGCAATTGTTAAGCAAAAAGAGTGCTTTTTGTAAGGTCAACTCTGAATTTTTTAGATAGATTTGAATTGTACCCTTAAAACTAGATCTAGAAAAGTGTTTTCAAATAGTTTGGAAAAAAAAATTATTTTAAGAAAAAAAAAGTCGAGTCTAATACCTTGGCTTTTTTTTTCAATAAAAATTTTTTTTTTTAAAAATCTTTTAAGATCACTTTTCTAGACGCAGTTTTAGTCGAGGAGTTCGAATCCGTCGAAAAAATCGGGGCTCATCTAATAAAAAGTACTCTTTTTCTTTAACAATTGTGCTATTGTTCCGCGGAAGCTAATCACTCTTCTCTCTTCCACCATATCTTCACTTCCAGTTAACCGATCAACTTGTGGTTGTTCTTAAAATGTTCCTTATGAAATTTCCTACTAGAAACTCACAATCTACTTAGCAACTTTAGAATAAAAACATAAAGAAAATCGCGGTTAAAGTTCACCTACTTATCTGAAAGGGTCAATTCATTTAAAAGGGCTATAACCCAAGATGTAAGAGTTCAATTGACTTCTGCTTACTATCATTGGAATTTACGTTAAATTTCAGTCAAGAAATGTATAATTTGTTTTATAGACTTACCAATAAAATTATGGAGAAAATTAGGGTTAAAGTGAAATGAGTCTCTGACCCCCCTCAGAGATTTTTCTGACCCCCCTCAGAGAATCTGAGTTGGACTACTCTTCTCTTTTATCTCATATCTCCACTTACTATTGACCGATCGACTTGGGGTTGCTTTTAAAATGTAGGTAATGAAATTGTATTCTAGAAAACTCTAACTTGTTCAGTAAACTGTAATATAAAAACATAGAGAAATTTTCGGTCAAAGTTCACCTACTTGTCTGAAAGGGTCAATCCTTTTAAAAGGTTTATAACTCAAGATCTAAGAATTCAATCGACTTTTGCTTACTATCATTGGAATCTACGTTAAATTTCAGTCAAGAAATGTATAATTTGTTTTATAGACTTACCAATAAAATTATGGAGAAAATTAGGGTTCAAGTGAAATGAGTCTCTGACCCCCCTCAGAGAATCTGAGTTGGACTACTCTTCTCTTTTGTCTCATATCTCGACTTACTATTGACCGATCGACTTGGGGTTGCTTTTAAAATGTAGGTAATGAAATTATGTTATAGAAAACTATAACTTGTTCAGTAAACTGTAATATGAAAACATAGAGAAATTTTCGGTCAAAGTTCACCTACTTGTCTGAAAAGGTCAATCCATTTACAAGGTTTATAACTCAAGATCTAAGAATTCAATCGACTTCTGCTTACTATCATTGGAATTTACGTTAAATTTTAGTCAAGAAATGCATAATTTGTTTTATAGACTTACCAATAAAATTATGGAGAAAATTACGAAGTGGTACCACTCCCACGCATGTGGTTCCACATAGTGGTACCACTACCACGCATGTGGTTCCACATAGTGGTACCACTACATAATACATCCTACATGTGGTACCACTACGTGGTACCACTACATATTACGACGTAGTGCTACCACTATGTGGAATCACATGCGTGGGAGTGGTACCAGTATGTGGAACCACATGGTTGGGAGTGGTACCACATAGTGGTACCACTCCCACGCATGTGGTACCACTATGTTTTAGAATAACATAGGAGAAATGCCTTACCTACTTTTAAAGCTATTCAGATTTATAAGAACTGATAGCAACTTTATCTTATTTGGTGAAGAAGAGATCTTTGCTGAAAATTTCTCGTCTTCTACACCATTTGGTGTAGTAGTGATCTTCGCTCAAGATTTCTCGTCTTCTTCACCATTTGGTGTAGTAGAGATCTTTTTCGAGGTTTCTTTCACTTCTTCACCAAAAAGCAGAAAACTTCGAAAATTCGATTTCTCTTAGAATAACATAGCAGAAATGAAATACTTACTTTTAAAACTACTCAGCTTTAGAGGAACTTATAGCGACTTTATCTTATTTGGTGAAGAAGAGATCTTTGTTCAAGATTTTTCGTCTTCTACACCATTTGGTGTAGTAGTGATCTTTTTCGAGGTTTCTTTCACTTCTTCACCAAAAGTTGGACTAAATTTCTACAAGGTTTACGGTCAAGATATGGTAAAAAGCCTAAGCAAACTCTAGGTTTTAAGTGCAAATTCAGATTCTACATAAGATTTGCACCTAGAAAAAATACTTTATAAGATATTGAGTAAAGGTTTTCTTCCCTTTTAAGATGATCTTCATACACTGTACTAGGATCATATAAAATCGCGATTTTATATGATCCTAGTACAGTGTATGAAGATCATCTTAAAAGGGAAGAAAACCTTTACTGAATATCTTATAAAGTACTTTTTCTAGGTCCAAATCTTATGTAGAATCCGAATTTGCACTTAAAACTTAGGGTTTGCTTAGGCTTTTTACCGTATCTTGACGGTAAACCTTGTAGAAATTTAGTCCAACTTTGACCGAGATTTCCTTTATGTTTTTATTGTAAAGTTGTTAAGGAGATTGTCAATTTCTGATAGGAAATTTTATAAGGAACATTTTAAGAACAACCACAAGTTGATCGGTTAACTGGAAGTGAAGATATGGTCGAAAAAGCGAGGACTCAATATGATCCTCATACACTGTACTAGGATCATAAAAAAAAGGCATTTTATATGATCCTAGTACAGTGTATGAAGATCATCTTAAAAGGGAAGAAAACCTTTACTCAATATCTTATAAAGTACTTTTTCTAGGTCCAAATCTTGTGTAGAATCCGAATTTGCACTTAAAACTTAGGGTTTGCTTAGGCTTTTTACCGTATCTTGACGGTAAACCTTGTAGAAATTTAGTCCAACTTTGACCGAGATTTCCTTTATGTTTTTATTGTAAAGTTGTTAAGGAGATTGTCAATTTCTGATAGGAAATTTTATAAGGAACATTTTAAGAACAACCACAAGTTGATGGGTTAACTGCAAGTGAAGATATGGTGGAAAAGGCGAGGACTCAATATGATCCTCATACACTGTACTAGGATCATAAAAAAAAGACATTTTATATGATTCTAGTACAGTGTATGAAGATCATCTTAAAAGGGAAGAAAACCTTTACTCAATATCTTATAAAGTACTTTTTCTAGGTCCAAATCTTGTGTAGAATCCAAATTTGCACTTAAAACCTAGAGTTTGCTTAGGCTTTTTACCGTATCTTGACGGTAAACCTTGCAGAAATTTAGTCCAACTTTGACCGAGATTTTCTGTATGTTTTTATCTTAAACTTGCTAAGGAGATTGTGAATTTCTAGTAGGAAATTTTATAAGGAACATTTTAAGAATAACTAGAAATTGATCGGTAAACCATAAGTTGAGATACAGAGAAAAAGAGAAGAATTATCAAACTATGCCTAACAATAGTACAATTGTTAAGTAAAAAGAGTGCTTTTTGTTGGGTGACCCCCAATTTTTTCGACAGATTCGCATTCTATCCTCAAAACTACGTCTAGAAAAGCGTTTTCAGAGGTTTCGGAAAAAAAAATTTTTTTAAGAAAAAAAAGTACAGTCTAATACCTTAGCTTTTTTTTCAACAAAAAATTTTTTTCTTTTTAAATCTTTTAAAAACACTTTTCTAGACGTACTTTTAGTCGAGAAGTTCGAATCCGTCGAAAAAATCGGGGCTCATCCAACAAAAAGTACTCCTTTTGCTTAACAATTGTGCTATTGTTCCGCGGAAACTAATCACTCTCCTCTCTTCCACCATATCTTCACTTCCAGTGAACCGATTAACTTGTGGTTGTTCTTAAAATGTTCCTTATGAAATTTCCTACTAGAAATTTACAATCTCCTTAGCAACCTTAGAATAAAAACATAAAGAAAATCTCGGTCAAAGTTCACCTACTTGTCTGAAAAAGTCAATCCATTTAAAAGGGCTATAACCCAAGATGTAAGAGTTCAATTGACTTCTGCTTACTATCATTGGAATTTACGTTAAATTTCAGTCAAGAAATGTATAATTTGTTTTATAGACTTACCAATAAAATTATGGACAAAATTAGGGTTAAAGTGAAATGAGTCTCTGACCCCCCTCAGAGATTTTTCTGACCCCCCTCAGAGAATCTGAGTTGGACTACTCTTCTCTTTTATCTCATATCTCCACTTACTATTGACCGATCGACTTGGGGTTGCTTTTAAAATGTAGGTAATGAAATTGTATTCTAGAAAACTCTAACTTGTTCAGTAAACTGTAATATAAAAACATAGAGAAATTTTCGGTCAAAGTTCACCTACTTGTCTGAAAGGGTCAATCCTTTTAAAAGGTTTATAACTCAAGATCTAAGAATTCAATCGACTTCTGCTTACTATCATTGGAATCTTCGTTAAATTTCAGTCAAGAAATGCATAATTTGTTTTATAGACTTACCAATAAAATTATGGAGAAAATTAGGGTTAAAGTGAAATGAGTCTCTGACCCACCTCAGAGAATCTGAGTTGGACTACTCTTCTCTTTTGTCTCATATCTCCACTTGCTATTGACCGATCGACTTGGGGTTGCTTTTAAAATGTAGGTAATGAAATTGTATTCTAGAAAACTATAACTTGTTCAGTAAACTGTAATATAAAAACATAGAGAAATTTTCGGTCAAAGTTCACCTACTTGTCTGAAAGGGTCAATTCTTTTAAAAGGTTTATCACTCAAGATCTAAGAATTCAATTGACTTCTGCTTACTATCATTGGAATCTACGTTAAATTTCAGTCAAGAAATGTATAATTTGTTTTATAGACTTACCAATAAAATTATGGAGAAAATTAGGGTTCAAGTGAAATGAGTCTCTGACCCCCCTCAGAGATTTCTCTGACCCCCCTCAGAGAATCTGAGTTGGACTACTCTTCTCTTTTGTCTCATATCTCGACTTACTATTGACCGATCGACTTGGGGTTGCTTTTAAAATGTAGGTAATGAAATTGTATTCTAGAAAACTATAACTTGTTCAGTAAACTGTAATATAAAAACATAGAGAAATTTTCGGTCAAAGTTCACCTACTTGTCTGAAAGGGTCAATTCTTTTAAAAGGTTTATCACTCAAGATCTAAGAATTCAATTGACTTTTGCTTACTATCATTGGAATCTACGTTAAATTTCAGTCAAGAAATGTATAATTTGTTTTATAGACTTACCAATAAAATTATGGAGAAAATTAGGGTTAAAGTGAAATGAGTCTCTGACCCCCCTCAGAGAATCTGAGTTGGACTACTCTTCTCTTTTGTCTCATATCTCGACTTACTATTGACCGATCGACTTGGGGTTGCTTTTAAAATGTAGGTAATGAAATTGTATTCTAGAAAACTATAACTTGTTCAGTAAACTGTAATATAAAAACATAGAGAAATTTTCGGTCAAAGTTCACCTACTTGTCTGAAAGGGTCAATCCTTTTAAAAGGTTTATAACTCAAGATCTAAGAATTCAATCGACTTTTGCTTACTATCTTGCCATTTCAGCCATTTCAGTACTGAAAGCCTTTTCAGTACTGAAAGCCTTTTCAGTACTGAAAGACTTTTCAAGAGCTCGGTAGCTAGATCTTCGGGGCGAAATGTTTGTCAAATAGCGAAACTCGAATTCTAAATCGCGACCCCATGAATTACGGTCAATTGATCGGTTAAAAGGAAGATTTCTCGCCCTTTAATTTATACTTCGCTTCTCCCCAACAGCTATTCGTCTTTTTTTCTGCCATATTTTGTGCTTATCGAGTGATTTCTTGTTAGAATCGACTTTTATAGCGTTTTTTGCTAATGTTTTTTTAACATTTTCTATTTTCAGTTATAACTTACTTCTCGCTTGACTCCTATGGCCTCCTACAAACAACTGTTTTCTCCGTTGACGTGCCATTCACTAACGTACCGCAGTGCCGAATTTCTCCTGGTCGATTTCGATAAGAAAGGAGAAATACCTGTAGGTTTCTGTTTTTTACTTAAATCATTCGCTTTTTAGTCTTTGAAATTTCCTATGAATAGCCTCGAGCCGCAAGTCATTCGTATAACGAATAATCACCCCACTGAGGCAATGTGTTTACAGGTTTTTACTTTTCTGACCAAGCTTTTTTTCCTAACAGTTCAGAAAAAAAAGTTCTTTTTTAGGTTTTCCCTCCCCTTCCAAGGGATGCTTGGGATAAACCATTTGGGCATCATATTTGGTCAACGATCACAAATGAGTGGTTTCTTGAGGTAATCTTTATATCATTTATGTCTATATAGTTTAAATTAAAGATTGATGGTTGGCAATTTGATAGTCGTCTTTCGGAATATCCCCGTAATCGTTGCAAAATCTACAAGTTGAAGCCGGGAGTGACCAAAGAGATGAAAATCTATGGACGTCATGGTTGGTTTTGTATTTTAGTACTTTTAATGCATTAGATCCTCCCCACGAGCATTATTTTTTTCTAAGAAAGTTTTGAATATACTGTAAAACGTATTGTCAGATTCGAAAGAATCTTTTATGGCTTATTTTCTTAATCTTTCGAATTGAAACTTTAGTCCAACAAGGAAATTATGGTCTAAAATTATACGGATGGATCAAAGGCATGAGAATCGCTGATCAAGTGATGGTAGCTTGTCAAAAATATGGCAGACCTTTGGGTGCTGGTAAGAAACCAATAACTGCTTCCGATTGTCACGGTAAGTCAGTTGATTTGTTTTTATTAATATCTTGAGATTTCAGCAATGGATTTCGCTGCATTTTGTGAACTCCAGGCTAGCATTGATGACGTGGCGCTTCAAATTGACGCAGGCGTGGTTGTGCCAGTGATGCCGATCAAACAGTACATTTTTGATGTACTCGACAAGCTCTTGGAAGCTCCGCAAGACGACGACGTGGCATCATCTTTCTTACGTTCAAGTACAATTGTTTCGTCATCTTCTTCTTCAACAGCTTCCATTACTTCTGACGCTTCTTTTGATGCTTCACTTCAATCTTCAACTTTGCGTGGGTTTTTTCTATTTTATTAATTCCTAAATTTTGTCAACTCGACTTGCTTTGTATTTAAAAAAAAATAGAATTTATAAGATATCATTTTTTATAAATAAATAATGTAACAAAAGCACTAATCTTTGAATCTTTAGATGAAGAATTAAATGAAACGATTTCTTCCATCACTTCACCCGTTTCAACTACATCTTTATCGCTTTGCGGCTATGGTTGTATGTTTACTTTAAAATTATATTTTCTACTTAATTTCTATTTTCTAGTCCAATATAATCTAGTTATTCTATTTAATCTATAGTTTTAGTGATTGATTCCACTGCTATGGTACAGAACACCCCCGCAAAATCCACCATTGCTGCCGTTAATTGTCAAAAGCGCCGTCACGGTGATCTGTTTCGAGATAGCTTCAATGATATCACGGAAGATCAGTTTATTTCCGATGCCGATCAACCAGGCCCGTCAAATAAGGTAACTTTACTACTATTTAAAGTTTTCTATATAATTATTCTTAGATTTAATTATTCAATTTTTTAGAGAATTTATCAAAATGAAGACAATAGTAATGAGGACTACATGCTGATCGACTTCATTGATACATCAACGCCTCAAGCCCGTGCTCACGAAATTGGATTGAATGAAGAAAATCAAGGTACGTCAAATTACTATTGTATTTTGCCCATAAGAGATTTTATAGAATTGTTCCATTATTTTCAAATTTTAAAAGTATTAAAGTTTCGACTTAATAAGTTCTTTTAATTTTATAGATAATCAAAAAGAGAAAAATGATGAGAACGATTGTCCTAAATGCTACAAAACAATGTCTGGAAAGGGGTGTTTGCAGTGCCAAGACGGATGTCGAAAATGGTGGCATACGTAAGTTTTTTACTTAGAAGTCAATCCCAATAAATTACTTTCATTTCAGGAAATGTTTTGATAGTACATTGCACCATCTAGCTGGTCCAGCAAAAGCTCGAGGACGGGATGGAAAATTTCTTTGTGCCGCCTGTCGAGAAGGACTCTCAGTTCGATTTAACTTTTCTAAATTTAGTTTAAAGATAAATTTGCGTGTAAAGTTAAATTTGAGTCTAAATCTAGATTTGAAATCTAATTTACAGAGACAAGATGACGACGAAGAAAATCAAAATGTCGCTCGACCCTCGAAGCGCAACAAGGGCCATTAGTGCCGATTTTGTGTTTCTTTGTTTCTTTCTCTTTCTCCATTCTTATTTAGTATTTTTTGCTTATTGATAAATGTTCACTTTTAACAACTAACCTTTTTCACTTTATTTCTTTTTTGTCTTAAATAAATTATTAAACTTTATCACTTAATCCTGCTGACAGTAATCCTGCTAACAGCAATCCTGCTAATGGAAATTCTGTTGGCAGGAATTCTGCTGACAAGAATCCTGCTGGCAAGCATTTAGCATAAAATAGGCATTTAGCAAAGAATCTCAACAAACTTTTACTTAATATTTTAAGAATATGTAGTAGTAGAATATATAGTAGTGAAAACGCTTTCAGTACTGAAAAGGCTTTCAGCACTGAAAAGGTTTTTAAGCCTGAAAAGGCTTTCAGTACTGAAAAGGTTTTCAGTACTGAAAAGGTTTTTAAGCCTGAAAAAGCTTTAAGTGCTTTCAGTACTGAAAAGGCTTTCAGTACTGAAAAGGCTTTCAGTACTGAAAAGGTTTTCAGTACTGAAAAGGTTTTTAAGCCTGAAAAGGCTTTGAGTGCTTTCAGTACTGAAAAGGCTTTTCGTACTGAAAAGGTCTAAGACCAAAGTTAGAGTTAGACCTAAGACCAAAGTTGCATGTAGGAGCTCGGCACTGAAGAGCTCGGTACCGAAGAGCTCGGTACCGAAGAGCTCGGTACCGAAGAGTTTTCAGTACTTTCAGTACTGAAAACCTTTTCAGTACTGAAAGCCTTTTCAGTTTGCAACTACACGAAATTTCAGTTTAGAAATGTATCATTTGTTTTGTAGACTCACCAAGGGAATATAGAGCAAAATAGGATCTTAGTACACTGTACTAGGATCATATGAAATGGGCATTTCATATGATCCTAGTACCCTCTACTCGGATCATATTCATTTCTACTTATCTCCACTTCCAGTTGACCGATCAACTTGTGGCTGGTTTTAAAATGCAGCTAACGAAATTCTATTTAAGAAAACTATAGCTCCGCAGTGAATCTTAATATAAAAACATAGGGAAATCTTTCATCAAAGTTGCCCTACTTTTCCAAAAGGGTAAGTTCAATTAAAAAGTCTATAGCTCAGGATCTAATAATCTAATCAACTAACGGTTATTTTTAATAGAATCTACACGAAATTTCAGTCTAGAAATGCATTATTTGTTTTGTAGACTCACCAAGGGAACATAGAGCAAAATAGGATCTTAGTACACTGTACTAGGATGATATGAAATGAGCATTTCATATGATCCTAGTACACTCTACTCGGATCATATTCATTTCTATTTATCTCCACTTCCATTTGACCGATCAACTTGTGGTTGGTTTTAAAATGTAGCTAACAAAATTCTATTTTAGAAAACTATAGCTTCGCAGTGAATCTTAATATAAAAACATAGGGAAATTGTTAATCAAAGTTGCCCTACTTTTCCAAAAGGGTAAGTTCAATCATTGTTAAGTGACAGTTAAGTGACCCCCAATTTTCTCGACAGATTGGCATTCCATCCTCAAAACTACGTCTGGAAAGGTGTTTTCATATGTTTCGGAAAAAAAAAATTTTTTTGAGAAAAAAAAGTACAGTCTAATACCTTAGCTTTTTTTCAAGAAAAAATTTTTTTTTTTTGAAATCTTTTAAAAACACTTTCCTAGACGTAGTTTTAGACGAGAAGTTCGAATCTATCGAAAAAAGCAGGGCTCACTCAACAAAAAGTACTCTTTTTCCTTAACAATTGTGCTATTGTTCAGTGGAGGTTGATCACTCTTCTCTTTTCCTCCATATCTTCACTTGCAGTTAACCGATCAACTCGTGATTATTCTTAAAATGTTCCTTATAATATTTCCTACCAGAAATTGACAATCTCCTTAGTAACTTTAGAATAAAAACATAAAGAAAATCTCGGTCAAAGTTGGACTAAATTTCTGCAACCGGGAATCTAGGTTTACCGTCAGGATATGGTAAAAAACCTTAGCAAACTCTAGGTTTTAAGTGCAAATTCGGATTCTACTTGAAATTTGGACCTAGAAAAAGTACCTTATAAAATATTGAGTAAAGGTTTCCTTGAATTCTACGATAAATGCAAATATAGTATAGAGATCAGTCATAGGAGACCGACCTACTACAGGACTTTTCGACTCATAGATAAGCGAAGATAGAGAAGTATAATGAAAAACACTTTTCTAAGCTCCATTTTTGATGGAGAATCCGAATTTGCACTTAAAATTAGGTCTTGCCTAGAAAAAGTACTACTTTTCATCAAATCTCAAAAAATTTTATAGGGGTGATTCAATGAAATAGTCTATAACTCAAGATCTAAGAGTCAAATCAAATAGCGGTTGCGTTTATTAGAATCTACACAAAATTTGACTTTAGAAATGTTGTATTTGTTTTATAAACTTACCAATAAAAACCTAGGTAAAATTAGAGTCAAAGTCGGATAAGTGCCTACCCCCCCCTAGACATTTGTCTAGGGGGGGGTAGGCAGATTTTCTAGGGGTATCCTCTCCTTTTCGGCCATATCTTCACTTCCAGTTAACCGATCAACTTGTGGTTGTTCTTAAAATGTTCCTTATCAAATTTCGTATTAGAAATTCACAATCTCCTTAGTATCTTTAAGATAAAAATATATGGAAAATCTTGGTCAAAGTTGGACTAAATTTCTGTGGGCGAAAATATAGGGTTACCGTGAGGATATGGTAAAAAACCTAAGCAAACCTTAGATTTTAAGTGCAAATTCGGATTCTACTTGAAATTTGGACCTAGAAAAAGTAGCTTATAAGGTTATTGAGTAAAGGTTTTCTTGAATTCTACGATAAATGCTAATATAGTGTAGAGATCAGTCATAAGAGACCGACCTACTAGAGAGATTTTTCGACTTATAGATAAGGGAAGATAGAGAAGTATGACAAAAAACTCTTTTCTAAGATCCATTTTTGATGGAGAACTGAATTTGCATTTAAAATTAGGGCTTTCCTAGAAAAAAGTACCACTTTTCAGCAAATCTCATAGATTTTATCGGGGTGACTCAATCAAATAGTCCATAACTCCAAATCTAAGAGTCCAATCAAATAGCGGTTGCGTTTATTAGAATCTACACAAGATTTAACTCTAGAAATGTTTTATTTGTTTTATAAACTTACCAATAAAAACCTAGGTAAAATTAGAGTCAAGTCGGATAGTAACCTACCCCCTAGACATTTGTCTAGGGGGTAGGCAGATTTTCTAGGGGTATCCTCCTCCTTTTCGGCCATATCTTCACTTCCAGTTAACCGATCAACTTGTGGTTGTTCTTAAATGTTCCTTATCAAATTTCGTATTAGAAATTCACAATCTCCTTAGTATCTTTAAGATAAAAATATATGGAAAATCTTGGTCAAAGTTGGACTAAATTTCTGTGGGCGAAAAATATAGGGTTACCGTGAGGATATGGTAAAAAACCTAAGCAAACCCTAGAGGCTTACGTGCAAATTCGACTTACTTCTTTTTTGAAATTTGGACCTAGAAAAAGTACCTTATAAAATATTGTTAGTAAAGGTTTCCTTGAATTCTACGATAAATGCAAAATATAGTATAGAGATCAATCATAGGAGAATCGCACCTGTTACAGAACTTTTCGACTTATAGATAAGGGAAGATAGAGAAGTATAATGAAAACACTTTTCTAAGCTCCATTTTTGATGGAGAATCTGAATTTGCACTTAAAATTAGATCTTGCCTCTGGAAAAAAAGTCATTACTTCTCATCAACCTCACAAAATTTTTTATAGGGGTGATTCAATGAAGATAGTCTATAACTCAAGATCTAAGAGTCAAATCAAATAGCGGTTGCGTTTAGCTAGAATGTCCACAAAATTTGAATCTAGAAATGTTTTATTTGTTTTATAAACTTACTCAATAAAAACCCAGGTAAAATTAGAGTCAAAAAGTCGGATAGTGGCACAACATCCCTAGACATTTGTCTAGGGGGTGGTGCAGATTTTTCTAGGGGTATCCCTCCTTCTCGGCCATATCTTCACTTCCAGTTAACCGATCAACTTGTGGTTGTTCTTAAAATGTTCCTATCAAATCTCGTATTAGAAATTCACAATCTCAAGTTAGTATCTTTAAGATAAAAATATAGGGAAAATCTTGGTCAAAGTTGACTAAATTCTGTAAGGGAATCCAGGGTTACCGTGAGTGATATGGTAAAAACCTAAGCAAACCTTAGATTTTAAGTGCGAACTGGGATTCTACTTGAAATTTGGACCTAGAAAAAGTACCTTATAAGATATTGAGGTAAAGGTTTCCTTGAATCTCTACAGATAAATGCAAATATAGCATAGAGACTAGTCATAGGAGATCCGACCTGTTACAGAACTTTTCGACTTATAGATAAGGGAAGATAGAGAAGTATATAATGAAAACACTTTTCTAAGCTCCATTTTTTGATGGAGAAACTGAATTTGCACTCAAAATTAGGTCTTGCCTAGAAAAAAGTACTACTTTTCTCTCATCAAATCTCAAAAATTTTATAGGGGGTGATTCAATGAAATAGTCTATAACTCAAGATCTAAGAGGCAAATCAAATAGCGGTTATAAGCGTTTTTATTAGAATCTACACAAAATTTTGAAAATCTAGAAATGTTTTATTTGTTTCTATAAACTTACCAATAAAAACCTAGGTAAAATTAGGAGTCAAAGTCGGATAGCAAACTAGCCCCCTAGACATTTGTCTAGGGGGTAGGCAGATTTTCTAGGGGTATCCTCTCCTTCGGCCATATCTTCACTTCCAGTTAATCGATCAACTTGTGGTTGTTCTTAAAATGTCCCTTATCAAATTTGGGTATTAGAAATCTCAGCAATCCCGTTAGTATCTTTAAGATAAAAATATAAGGAAAATCTTGGTCAAAGTTGGACTAAATTTCTGTGGGCGGAAATCAGTGGGTTACCGTGAGGATATGGTAAAACCTAAGCAAACCTTAGATTTTAAGTGCAAATTCGGATTCTACTTGAA